ATTGTAAAAATTCGAGTACATGTAATCCATTTAATTTATGAGAAAAATCTTAAAAAATGGCTGATATATATTCTTCGAAAAGGATCGATCATTGAAGAATTTATGACATAATAATGATCTATAATAGACCCTTTGGTCGCAGTTTTCATAGATTAATCAGCAGCTTCTATTCAACTTTAGGACTTTAATAAACGTTCTCCGTATCCATAAGGATTTTTAAAACGCTGTTTCAGAAGAACATTCAGTGAGTAATGCTATATATTGTCGGTGATGACTGACCAGTTCTTCACGCACCGCGTTATGAGTAGACTGCGAATTTTGAAGCAAATGAAAACAATAGCTTTTCCGCTCCACTGTTCATTCCTCGGAAATCTCTTTCTTTCTTGTGCAGGTCTTTACTGTTATATATCGTTTTTATTTATTTAATATCATTTATTTATTTTTTATTCGTTTATTATCCTTTTGTCTGTTTTTTCCTTCTTTGTTACCCTTACAATTTTGTTTTCCGTTTTCGTCCGAGAGTTRATTTAGATTTCGTCTTCGTATTTACATTGAGTATTCAGTCTATTTATTTTGTGTTTTCCCGCTTTCATTTATTAGTACTTCACCTTTTACAATGGTTCTGTYCGACGAGTTTTGTTTATCGTGTGAGTTCAATTCACAAGTAGCGCAATAGTTAATGAATTGTTGAGTTGYCAACATGAGGCAGCTTTTATACTATASKCACTTCTTTCCACTCTCAGCATTTTATTTTCATCGAAAGAGTAAAACAATATAACATTTATAACATTGATTCCACTGATGTTGTTAACAGTAMGGATTATTTGGTTTTGTTTTGGATGAAAGAAATGAAATGATGRAACACTGGGACCTGTGTCGAGGGATTCATTCTATATTCCATTTATCATGTTTCATTAAAAACTTTCATTACAAATKCATAAAACGAGAAAATTGGGATTCTCTATTCTTCGCCGTTTTTCACACTACAAAGCAAAAGCTATTGACACAGTTGTGTTTAAACTGCCGCCTCTGCATTATAAGAATACTGAATAATAAAGTCGTCAGAATCTACTTTCCCTGTGCTTAGATCTGATTGATGTATTCTTGTATRGACTGTGGGGGTGGACAAGTGCTTGTCAAATTTTAGATGCGAAGTAATGATGAATATGGATTGGATGAAAAGCCTTGGCGAGCATATGGTATAAACATAATCGACAGAGATTCACACCGATCAAAATGAASGTAAATCAATATTTGAGAAAATGATGTAGTACTTTCAAAATAGTGTGAAAATTCGTCTTTGGAAGCGTTTTATTGAGCACTTTCAAAATCTGTTGAAACGAAGCCGTTGGCAATCTTTGACCAGATAGTATCATCAAAAATCTCGAGTGCATTCTTAAAACAATCCATTTTAGCTGCTGGAGAAATCCAGGAAACTGTCACGAAATGGAAAGTAACAGCACAACGACCGACAAGAACAAGYTCACAATGGCGACCATGAGTGCTGGAGTTGTTGCCGTATCATTGGTGATTTTGGCGGGAAATTCCTTGGTTATTGCTTCWGTAGCATTAAATCGAAGACTGCAAACCAGAACGAGCGCTTTTATTACAAGTTTAGCCATTTCCGACTTACTAATCTCCGTGATTGTTGTTCCTTTAATCATTATTTCAAATGTAGTTGGACCCGACATGGAATATTCTCGAGGAATGACCTACTGTCATGCAACTATTTCTGTAGCAGTGTCGTTAATGTTCAATGCTGTAGCAAATCTAAGCGCTGTTAGTTTGGATCGATATCTGGCGATAATGAGACCACTACGCTACAAACTGATCATGAGGAAAAGAGTAATGGCTRCAATTATTGCTTCAATCTGGATTTTTTCGACTGTCTTTGGGTTTGTCCCGTACATGGGATGGCGAACTGTTGTACCAAGGACTGAGGGCATATTTTGCCAAGTGTCGTTAAATCTTAAGAGAGAGTATATAATAACTATTTGTGTACTTGCTACATTTCCATCGATTTTCATGCTACTTGCTTACTACAGGATATTCAAAACTGCTCAAATGCACTCGACACGTATCTGTGCAGCTATGAACAGCATCATGGTAAATTATTCTAGCAGTTCCATGACTACACTCGTTAAAGAAACAAAAGCTACTAAGATGGTGGCCCTGGTACTTGGATCATTTATTCTATTCTGGACTCCACTATTTGTAATCATGATCATCGACATTTTCAAGGAGAATTACGTCAATTCGTACATTTACGCCGGGGCTGTTATGTTTGCAACTATGAATTCAGCGTTAAATCCTGGAATATACGCGGCGATGAATAAAGAATTTCGCAGTACTTTTGTGAGTCTGTTGCATTGTACACGTCCTGGAAGGGTCATACCAGTCCCTCGTTGATGATTGCACTGATCAGAAATTACTTTATTATTTGGCCATACATTGCATGACCAAGAAAAACGAAGGCTCGGGGTACGAGATTGTCTTATACATAATCATATGGTTATGGGAAGAATTCGTAAAAACGTTATACAAAATTCTCAAAAAGATGCCCACTTTGTCATTTTTTCTGCMATGTCAGATCACTGCAAAACTCCTCTGTAAGTTATATAAACTACAACAAAAATCATTTTTGCAAGTGATAAGAATCAACCCATTGGAGTAATTGGGCCTCATGCAGGCCCCTTGCAAAGATAGAAATCGAGACGACTTTATTATAGTATGAAAAAGGAAAGCCTACGATCATTTTCATTTGAAAGTATTCTATTTTACCTTTTGAATTAATAATGTACATATTCAATAAAATAAAGTGTATTTGAATTTAAAAAAATCAATATTCAAGTAGTTCATAATTAGAACAAATAATGCTTTTTCTGTACAAAATATATATGATTTCACCTATTGCGGTTAGTATTCATTAAAAACAAATATTCACAAGAATTATTCTTTCATTCAGAAGTCAAAGAAAAAACTATATATTTTTACTTTTGAAAATAGTTGGTTTTTCGTAGCCGTTTCATCCGACAAATCACTGATTTCCAATGCACAAACTGTCTCTGAATTCTGACAGTAGAATGTGCAGCTGTACAGAGTATTCAATACTGGAAATTAAAATTCACAAAAAGTATTTGTTTTTTTTTTCTTCCCCTTTTTGTTTCTAATCAAAAAACGGAAGAAAATGCTATGATCCGTTTATACTGAGTTAAGATTGCTATGATTTCATTTCAAAGGAGGGAAAAAATGACATTAAGTTTGATTCAAAATACAGAAGATAAACGTTCTGTCAGATAACTGCCAAGAGATATAGAGATTTGGAATACATTTCAAGATATCAACTCAGYTTAGACTATTTTAATGATTTGTCACAAGCTTCTTCAGTTTTACCCTCTATTAACAATGGTTTTACCACATGCAATTCCATTTTGTCTAATAAAGGAAAGGCTTTGTTTACATGAAAGCGAGAACTGCAATGGAAATGATTGCTCCCTATTTGTAATTCACGGCTGAATGCGTGATAGTTAGTATGATGAATGCCATATGGTATTGCTTAGTGCGTTTGTACGAAACACTGACTTTTTAATCAAGTCCATATCATCCAATGATAAGAGAGTTTTTGTTGACAATGAACAACGTTTTCAAAATGTTTCTAGCGTCTATTGATCCGCATCAGCGAAGTTAAATGACATTGATCTTTCGTATTGTTTACTTCTTTAAATAGTATTGCGGAAAAACAATTTATATGCAACTATAACAATGAGATGTTTTGTGAGATGTTTTGTAGTTTTTTAGTGGAAGCAAAGTCCCAATTAAGGGTCGTCTGCGACAGTAGACTAATCTTTCCATATAAGGAACTTGCGATATTTTCTTTTTTCTAAATTTTCGTCCTCTTTTCTTTTAATTATCATCAAAGATAAAAAGTTTCAAATTGACTATAATTTTTTTTAACCCTGCACTTAACGTTACTTCCATTACCATCATTCACCCCGGGAAGACTTGGTCAATCATTTCAATTTACACTAAAATGTTTTGCAAATAGTCTTACGAAATTTTGTCTCCTCCATTTTCATTTGCAGCTTTGATAGTGTTGTATTTTGTATCGCGCGATTACGCACCGGAAACTATAAACGGAATTTTCTGATCCAACTTACATCCATAATAATGTTCTAGTCATTGAATAAAATCACGAAGAAACACACTCTTTACAGACTTCTTAAATTGTCACATATATTTCAGGACCTTTCAGTGTTTGTTTGGAATGTCCACATATGGTAGCACCACGATAGGTCAATGATCTTTTCCCACGTTCGGTGACATTCATTCGGCCTGATGGATCATTATTTGAAGATCTACTGTTATTGTAACAATCTGTTATTTTATTCGTGTATTCCAGTACAAATAACTCCAGGTTACTATCCTATATTCGGGTCCTTTTGACTCAAGTTCGAGGGATTTCACTTGCTCAACTCTTTTGTGGTCCACCGGCTCTTYTTAGGCTTCAATACACTCGCCTCAACAGTGATGCGACAATTTGATAATGTAGTTAAAGAGTTTTAATTGAATTTATTGATCTATATGTAATTATCATTAGTAGTAGTTGTAGTTTTTAGATTATTATCATTATTGTAAATAGTTTCTTAAAAGCCTTTGTGAAAATCCAAAGAATTTACTTAGAGTTCAGTTCGGTAAAAAATTATGATGTAATAAATTGATAACATATTAACTTAATTCTGTCTTGACTTATTACAAACAAAGACTATCTAACACCATTGTCACAGGAAGCCCACGTAAGCGATCCATGATCGTCTAGTTGTTATTTATTTTCTGTTCCCGTTATCTTTTATTGATTTCTTCCTTGTGACTATTAAATGACAGGGGGCTTACAGATGACCTATCAAGATTAATTAAGTGCTCTGTCTCTATTTCTTCAAAACAAATTTACGTATTTTAATAGTCGTTTGGATTTTTTAATACTCTGTGACTATAAATTATATGATCAAGTTTCCATTGGGTTTCCTGTGGTATATTCAATATGGCGGAAGGAGGTGAGTCAGCAGGAATTGCACAAAGTTCAAACATGGCTTCACTTGGTCTTCGAGCAGTTCTTGTAGGAGCGACAGGTGCAATAGGTGAATGTGTTCTTGGAGAGCTAATTTGTTCCAAGGTAAACTGGCATTAAAATTTTGTAAGCTAAATCGATATCGTATTGTTTGGTATGCGTGTGTTGAGTCGAGTGTAAGATTAATAGTTTAAGACTGATAAAGCCGTTTAACATGCACTGATGGTATTTTAATGTCACTTTTCACAATCAATCTAACCTTTTACAAACGTCCATGGTGGACTTCAGCAGTATTGTAAACAATCAACAGATTATGTTCGCGCTGCCGACGATTCATAAGCTTACACACCTTAAGTAAGCTTAAATAAAATATGCAAAAGGATTTTCTTATAAGCTTAATCGAGTGTCACGATATCTTAGCATAAAAGTAAGATGACTGCTGTAAAGGAAAAGTCATCAGAAAGTGAATAGATCAGACTTATGCTACTACATTTGAGGCGAATCCAGAAAGTTTTAAAGTGGGACACAAGTAACTTAATATAACTTTTAGTTCTCACTGCACTAAATCTGCCCCCGTTGTTAAATCTAGCATGTTCTTAATATGAGGTTGCTGGAAGGCAAATATTTTTAAGTAAAAATTTTTTATAGCTATCTGATCTGGCCCTMAAACATTTATCTTCCAAATTGGTAATATTAGAAAACCAATCACATGACAAAAATTCACCACAGGATAGCAGTCAAAGCACAGTYAAGATTCCTGTCAATTTTTTCATAGCTTCTTTTCCAATTCCGGAAAATTGATTTGCAAAAGATAAAAGCAATTTACTTTCAAGTGTTTTGAGAGTCACTTTTTAGGAATAAGAAAAAGGAAAACAGGATGACTTTTCACTTTGATCATTTTTGAAAACAAGAATAAGATGGAAGTGCTGTAAAAATATGGGGAAACTCATCAGATTAGATTAGATTGGCTTGCTTTGCCTAGCCCATTAGTGTAAATAATGCCATGCTTTCTGTAAACTTTGATAGACTGAGACTTGTGAGTCTGGGGTGGGGAAGGGTCATCAGTATTTTTGGTACTTTTGAGGTGAGGGTCAAAAGTTTAGTTTTAGAATTACTGAGGGTCACACATTTTTTTTGGAAAAATTACTTTGAACACTCCCCCAGCAATAAACATACCTTCCCTTAGTTGACAGACATACAATTTAAAAACATAAACATTCAAGAAATTCTATAAAATAAGTGCATTTTACTATGGACATTTTAATAATAGTTGAAAATCTATGATTATGTATAATTAGGGAGATAATCGTGTGAGGAAGTGGCTGATCCCATTAAATACTGTCTGATGAGTGCGTAGCACGAAACTCGGAGTTACAGCAAAATCTTGCCTCGTGCTACGCATTAAATACTGTCTGATGAGTGCGTAGCACGAAACTCGGAGTTACAGCAAAATCTTGCCTCTTTGATATCATATATATAATTAGGGAGATGTAAAGTATAGTGCCTGGACAAAAGGAATTTTTCTTGGTGACTTTTCCTACTTAGATCAATTATTATATCAATATTATACATCCATTATTATTATTATACTTAGATATATTATTTAGCCACTGTGATCATCTACATGAAGACCGTCAGATTACGGTCTGGGGTTCCTAATAACATGAAGAGACTCCTTTTCCCAATAAAATGTGAGACTTTAATGTAAAATAGGTAAATAATTAACAATGAAACTCATCAAAAATTCAAACAAGTATCTTACATAGACATCTGTTGTGATTCCCTATTTCTCTCAGAACATATGATGTTTTTCATAACTTATTTTATGTTTTCTTTCTTCTTGTAGAATTTTTCTAGTATTGTTGTTCTTGGGAGACGTGAGGCAACTGCACCAAGCTCTTACAATGCTGACCAAAAAGCTGAACAGGAGAGTGGCAGACTAAAACAACATGCCATTGGTTAGAGCTATCATGTATAATATTAGCCTTGTCAGCACACATTATTTAAGCAAAAAACAACAAATTTCCGTGTGTTCCTTGTAAAATAAACCACACAGTATGTTGGGAATAAAGGAAAAAGGCGTAAAAAATCAAGCCGGAGGCAAGAGATTTTCAGCCTTTTGAGTGTTTTCCCAATATCCCGAGTAGTTTATATTATAGCATTTGTGTGTTTACCTGTGAAATAAACAATAACATTTGACCAATCAGAGAGCACGTACTATGTTAGCTATAATATAAACCATTATATTCCATGCTGATGAGAATAAGTATTCATGAACAAATATGAATTTGAAAATATCTGATGATAAAATTCCATGATCAAAGTTTACATGAAAAAAACATATTTCCATGATGTTGCAACATTTCTGTATCAAGCAAGTGAATTAGAAGTTTATCATAAAAAGCAGATGGGGTCCAGATGGCATTATCAAATGTAGATAACACAGATGTAAAAAAACTGACCTTGTTAATTGAGGGTTGTGAAATTGTATTGACGATTTTCATAATGGCTGGCACTAATTAGCATATTATTGTTAAATTTAAAATGTTAACAAAATAAAACATAGATATTGAAGCTGCAAATAAGTTCTTAAAGTTTCACAGAAAAAGTTTAATTGTTCTTTAAGTTATAGGGGTGAGAAATGGCTCAAAAACACCAAACAAGGCTTTCAAGGCCTCAGCGAAGAACTCCATACAAATCCCTGTATTTTTATTCCTCCATAACTTTGTTAGTAYTTGGTCCATAGATTCAAAACTTTCCACAAATGCCCATTTCTGATAGTTTTCCTATACATGTATCAGTGCTGAATGTTTCCATAACATTGTCAATTGTATAAAATCGATGATAGGCTTWTATTCTATGACATCCATTATTTACTTTGGCAGATTTTGAGAAGATAACTAATGATACTGTTGGGGAATATTTCAAGGAGAAAGATGTATTCTTTTGTACTCTTGGTACAACAAGAAGAGTTGCAGGTTCAGCAGTAAGTCAAAATAAATTTTCATTATGCAGACATTGTTGTCAACCAGTTAAAGGGCTGTAATTTGGGTCCTGTGATGTTACTTGATACCATGATCAGTAGTTGGGGAGGGTATCATCAGGGAAGAGCTGTACTTAGTGGAAAGTGGTGCAGCACTTGCCAGCTGCTTCTCATCTTCTCTGGGTTTCATCTTTCAAAAGCGTTTTAAGGTTGAAAGCCATCTGCGTAACTCGAAGCCATGTAAACTAGCTGGCGTTGATCTTCGAATGAACAAAATCTAACAAAATTTAATTTCTTTTTTTTCCTCACTGAGAAACATACCCTGGTTCCAGAGGTTTGATATTTTCTCTCTTCGCTATTGTTTTTGTCGGCGGGAAGCGCCGGAAAGTACGGTCGCGATTACGGCACTTTGCGCCGACAAAAACAATAGCGAAAAGAGAAAATATTAAAACTTTTGGCACCAGGGTATGAGAAATTATGAGAAATTATGGAAATTCCAGGAAGGCAATGATGATGTAAAGACCAGTATTAAATTGCAAACAATAAAGGCGAGAGACAAAGACAGTTTACCCTCCATTAAATGTTCAATAGCAAATTTGACCTCCCAAATAATTAATGAGCACGAGAAGTCATTTCAAAGCCAAAAATTCAGACTGGACTGGATTTCAAGTCCTTGAAATGATTTCCAGACTCGGCTATGCCTCGGACTGAWATTAATTACGCGGACATGCATTCCAGTCRAGTCCTCATTGTCGGCTTTGAAATGTTACATCCGGAATACACTTCATGAAAGCATTTCAAGTATACATAATTTTCGGGATCCCAATGATTTCATGTACTGGTTGGGGTACTTAGAAAGATTATGGTCTAATTTTAACGATTATATCTTTCTGACCTATCCCAGGAAGCATTTCGTCACATTGATTATGATTATGTCGTCAACTGCGCAAAAGTTGCGAAGGATTCTGGYGTCAAGTTTGTTACCTATGTGTCTTCACAAGGTGCTAATGCAAATAGTTGGTTCTTGTATCCTAAGRTCAAGGGACAGGTACAATGTGCATTTATTGTTTGCGSTCATTGCTCTGTGTCAAATATATCATGAAAAATCAATTGCATTGCAATTTCTAGAAATCTTTGTTTTGCMACTTAGACGAAAGTTTGGGTTTTTYCGTGTTCTCATTTTTAAATATATTTATGTGTGATTCTCCAGTATCAATAAGGATCAATAGCTCAAATTAACCTGCTGATAGTTGGAAATWTCCGTTCGTCTCAAGTCGCAGAAAAAGAAAGCAAGGATTCACGGATTTTCGTTATAATGCACACCCTTATCAACTCCCTAGATTAGTGTGATGTTACATGAAAGTCAACGGAGATGTGCAATATCTGAATACATTATCATAGTGCACTGTAGTCTTGTTCGAGTACGAACATCACTATTTAAGTTTGATATACAAAAAGAAAATAGAACATACTGAATGCATTGTGTAATGCTTTTCCAAAAAACAGCTTCGGGAAGAAACTTTCTCAGTCCATGTCTTCGTAGTTTAAAGGCAAATTGTTGCTGTGCAATAACGTAGTGGAGATATCGTGACCATGAGCTCCACATGTTTCTTGTTCTAGGTAGAGGAAGCTTTGAAAGAAATGAAGTTCCAGTCGACAAGTATCTATAGACCTGGACTTCTTGGTCGAGGACAAAAAAATAGAACAGTTGAAAAAGTTGCAGGTTGGTATTATTCTTCGTTTTCACTATACGTCACAGCGGCCATCTTGGAGGAACTTCAACAAAGGTTTCTCATTAGTATGTATTGTTTATTCCTCCAACATGGCCGCCGGTCTTTTATCTTTTGACTCTCTTGGGAATGGTTGAAAACAATCAATATTGCCCTCGAGGAAACAATGCAAAAAAACTGATTTATACTAGAGTTTGAAAGCAAAAATACAAACATCTTCTTAATTGTTAAATTGAGACTCCATTCGCGTTATTGTTTGCCTGCTCACTCTAATGAAAATGCTAATGAAAACGCTTAATTATTGAACAGCCCTATATTGGCAATACGGGTATGTGCCGCACAATAGGGTATGGTTTTCGGATTTAAGGTCTGTGGTAGGGTATCCTTTTTGACATTTTGTCTGTGATAGGGTTACTATGTGGTCGTTCAGTAGACGTTCTTACTTAATTGTGTGAAGAACAAAGAACGTCAGATATAAATAAATCTTGTATGTTTTAGCATGGGTAATGAAACCTATTCCGGTTGCAACTGTTGCACGTGCAATGAGGATTGAAGCTGAGCAGTTCTTCGCGAAAAAGCAGGAAGCCCAAGAACAGCAGAACCTTTATTTCAATGCTGATATCATAGCTCTCAGCGCTCATACATAATTACTACCATAAACATGTAATGCATAATTGGAATGTTGTAAAGTTCAATGTTTAAGAAATATAAAACGACGTGTCTCTGTCCTCTGATATAAACACGGTGGGAGTTCGAAAAACACGAGAGAAGCAAGCTTAGGAACACGAGCGTAGCGAGAAGTGGAAGTTTGGTAAATAGTATAATCCAACAACAAAAATTACAATTGGCAGTGCATCAAACTGCTTCTCCGRGCGATCAGAAAGCAAGAAAAATAAATTATACAATTATCATAATCATTGCAAATATTGGGACAATGCAAACGTAGATGGTACAAAGCACCAAATAAAATCTTCTGCCTGTCTGTCTGTCTGTCTTGATTCTCGCCATTTCGATACTTTACTGTCGAAGCATCCCTACGATAATTTATTACATTAAGGTGGTAGAGAACAGGATTTATTTTTCTACCATACACATTTTCCTATAAATTTGTACATTAATTTGTACAGTGGATCAATTGTTGTATACGATGACAGTTTTAAATTCGTTGCCATGACAACGATCAATGTTTTGGGTTGAAATACGAAGTTTTTAGAATATTTTATATGAAAATGAGTGGTATGACCAGAAGTGCATACTAGATCTGATTATGTCATTATGATCAACTAAAAACAACTCCATATTACCAGCTCCAGTCATCGCTAGGAATGTTTTTTTTTACCTGAAAAAAATCATCCAAACCCATCTTCTATAAATTCGTGACGGTTTTCATCCATATTCGGGTACGGCTTACGAAACGAAACGTCAGTAAGTTACTTCTACTTTTTTTTTAGTTCCCACCCTTTTAAAATTCTTGGAATTTTCGATCGGCCCTTTGTAATTTTTGGTTCTGATCAACCTAGTATTTGAAAYGTGAGATGGGGAATGTACACATGCATTGTGGGCAACATTAAATAAAGCTACGTGTACAATAGCATTATAACCCATATGTATAAACACACCTTGTCTTACTTTAAATCTCGAACAAAAGCTTTTTTTTGTGGACTACGCTGTTTGTTCATCGGTGCTACTTTCATAGTAGAAATCATCTTGAGAACAAAGCAAAAAATGTTCATGTTTGCTGTGAGCTCGATACAAAATGAATGTGTATAAACGTGGTATCACCAMTGAGTCTGACTGTTCACTTGGACAAAGAGCAATATAACTTTGGGTGAGCTACTTTTCATTTACTCTTGAACCTCCTGGAACTTTTACATATTGCGTCTCCTCAAAAGTAAAAAATAGGCAGTTTGCTGAATGTATCAACTCTCTATTCTGACCGAATATTAGGCTGTCTTTTCCACAGATCGTGGAAAACTAGCTGGACCGCCCTTAAGGCAATGTTTCTTCATGCATCCAACACTTGMAATGCATCAATTAAACGCATATGTTGGATTTCTCGCTACGAGAAACCGTTTAACATCGTTCTTGATTGCAGTACGATGGAAAAAGTAGTTCTGATTGTTTTGCTGGCCGGTGTCTGTGTGTTCGCAAAGCCTTCTCAAGTCGATTCTGGTATGTATTTTAAAAAGTAGTAGAAAAAGTTTATCAGTGATCTCTTTTATACATTAGTGCCTTATTTTAACTTAATGTTCTATTGTTAAATGCAGGTTTTAAATTTCTAGGATTGGCAACTTGTACCTCTCACATGTACCTGAGACAAATATCCCACAATGCTACATATATTTTTACAACAATGTATTTATGATATTTAATTTTGTCGACCTTTCCGTGACTCGAACCTTTGAACCTAAAACCTAAAGCGCAATCCAATATAACTGGACATCCCAAATCAGGATTTCTTAAGAGGTCCTCGTCCCCATGTGTAACTAAGGGGTTACTTGTATTTCAATGTTCTACGGGAACTTGCTAACACACATAGTTGATGTTTTAGCTTTAACTAAGTTCTTCACGTCATCAGACTGAATAGTTCTAATGCAAAATGATACAAACACTAGTCTACAGTACTGGACAGTTAGTTACGAAATTAATAAAGTATTATTATTATTATTATTATTATTATTAGATTAGCTTTGTCTGTTAGGGGGATTCAGTCTGGACACAAAATAACAGCCAAACTGTAAACATTAATGTTTATCTTATAGGCCTACTCCGGACCGGAAAGTTGCCTTTTGTCGCCATAAGACGTCCAAAGTCGCCACCTAATTATCAACAGTGCCCCGCCCAACTTACCCTCATTTTTTCTTAAGTAGCCTTAAGTTGCAGCGACTTAACGGCGAYTTTCTGGCCCGGAGTAGGCCATCTCATGTGTTCTATATCCGTGCAATTAACAATCGCTAAATTTTGTTTACTTATTTCAGGAGAATGTGATGTCAGTTCATATCGAAGAGAATGTGGTTGGTTGGGTATCGACAGGCAAACCTGCTTAAACAGAGGCTGTTGTTGGGATTCGAGTGACCCTGACTCAAAATACTGCTTTGTAAAAAAAGGCAAAAGTAAGTCAGCGTAGTCACATACCAGTAGTTTGTCATCGTACAAAGGGGCTTAATAATGTATTAATAGTGTAAAACTTTTAGGTAAGATCATTAGTCTTTTTTAATATTAAATGTTAGATCTCCTTGAGGGACAGTGTCCCGTTGCGCCATCCGAACGTCAGGAGTGTGGCTTTTTCGGAATCACTAGAGACCAATGCCTCAGTAAGAAATGCTGTTGGGATGACTCGGTACCAAGCGCCAAGCATTGTTTTAAAGAACCTGGTAGGTCACCTTACCTACATGCATAGTTTTCATAGTTGTTATCATTTTATAGGAATGATGGCAATGGTCATCGTATCACCATCAGAAGTTGTGATGTTAACTACTACAAAGTATTTTAGGTTTCAATTACATATCCCTTGTTTACTATATCACTAGATTTACCTCRAGTTGGTTGCTACATCTATCATGGCGTGTCTGGTACCTGCCGTTACACGTGCCACGCCGGCGAATCCAAGGCTTATGGGATGTGGGTCTGTGGTGGAAGAATTTGTTGTTATACATCGAAATGTAAGTTTAAAAAAGTTAGAAATATCTGGAAATCGGTAACTGGTCAACCAAATTCGGAAAACTTTGCCACTGACGTGTCCTGTTAGTTATATGTTACATATATGATCATGGGAAAATTGGAAGTAACTTCTCTTTTTTGCCTCAATGTCAATCAAGCATGGGGAAGCAAACTATAAAAGGCATTTTTTACCATAGAATTTTTTACCATAGAATTCTCGCGCGCTGATTGGTCGAGAGCCGTTGTCGATCGTAGGACAGACAGATGAAATGACGAATCGATCGCGCATGGAGCCGGCGCGCGCCAGAAACGATTTTGTTTTGAAAGTTTTACTTTGTTTTCGGCTTTGTTATGGTAAAAAACAAATCGAAATCGCTTTTCTATGGTCTGTACGCTTATCGAMAATTCAAATGACGTCAGAAAATGATCAAAACTCAAGTGGAACCACGAGCGTACGTGTCGTACTTATCACAGAATGTGATGTAATTTGTCACGTGACTGTCTCTTCATACATTCCTTGTAAGCGCTCTTTTAGTAATTGATTTATTGTGACTTATATGTTATATTATGGTAGCTGTGATTATACTGATGCACACGTTGTTACATTTATACGGTTTTTGATTCCTTTCTTTTAGATGGGAAATGATGATTGCAACACTTTTGACAATGAAGATGTCAAGAAAGAATCTGTGTGTTCTATAGGATAGGACAATAAAATAATGAAGATGTCAAGAAAGAATCTGTGTGTTCTATAGGAAAATAAAATAAAAATCAATGGGCCAAGGTGTTTGGAGTGGGTTTCCTTATGCACCTGTGTCAATGTTAAGCCCCCTGGGGGGGAGGAAAGGCCGGGCAAAGGGTGGGGATTAGACCAATATTTGATGCCCCATAGTTGGGCATTTGCCATGTTATGCTGTCCCTATGGTTGGGGGGGGGGGGGGGGGGGAATTGCCTAAAATCCAGCCCGTGGGTACGCCAAAGTAAATCTAGTGTTTCAAGAACCGCCCACAGATTTTGAAACCGCATGATTGATCGAGCGTGGACAAGGTAGACAACTCAATTTTTGTACTGTCTGAAAATGAGAAAGCCATCGATGAAGATGAATTATCATGGATTCAWTTTGATTGCTTTGAGATTGGTACTATTGCATGTTTTAAAATACCATTGACTAATGGTTGTTTTCAAATTGTTATGAAAGATAGTAAATTGTGAATTAAAACTTAAAATGTTGATATCTTATATTAGCGTTTTAAGTGCTTAGAAAAGTGAGATGGTCAAAGATTCGAAACACACAGTACAATTTATAGACTTTCGGCAAACTGAAAATGCAAAAGCATAATGGTGCACACTGGGCCTTTAACAGAATGTAGTCTGTTATTGACATTATATGATATTATACAACTTTTCAGTAAAATCAGACGTTTTGATTGGTTGGCTTTCGTGTGTTATCAAAGTATAGATACACGGATTACGTCAAAACTAATTGTTTGTTGTATAAAACAGATAGATCTCATTTTTCCGTGCGTGTGTACTCTAATAGATACACAGATGACGTCAAAATGTAGTGAGAACAACAGTCACGCACTCGACTGCGTCTCGTGCGTACTTTTTTGTTCTCACTACATTTTGACGTCATCTGTGTATCTATTACAGTACACACGCACGGAAAAATGAGATTTATTTGTTTAACAACAATTTCAAAGTGAACTTGATATAAACAAAATGCACTTTTGTCATTGTCTGGAGCCCCATCTTAAGACATTTCACAACTATACAGGTCCCCAGGTAAGGAAGTTTTACTGGATTTGGTCAACAGCACACCCAAATCAGTAATCCAAATGCACACATCGCTTGGAAATCGTTCAGTCTTTTACCACCTGTTGTATCAAGTACAAAGCCTTGGATTTTATTTGTTTTTAAAATGAAAAAGAACAAAACTAAAAAACAACTTATGTCGGTCCAAACAACACGTGTGTATGTAGTAAAGGCGTTTTTGTGATGGAGTAGTATAAAAGGTGTCAGTATACGTCTACCGGGTTTTTTTTTAAATGCCACGAGCCTGGAAGTGGTCAGCACAATGACAGTGGTCACACAGCAAAAGAAAATAACAGTTCGCTRAGAAATTGAAAAGCTTTCTCTTTCACGCAAAAGACGACAAAAAGTATTGCAAAACAATATTTTAATGAACGATGCGATCTTCATATTTTAAAACTCGAATGGGATGGATGAGAATATTTGATAGCTTTGAGACTCAGTGAGAACGAGACTGATTGAGAATAACAATTCGACTGGTTACCGCAAAACCAGCTTTGTACCCAGGAATGTGCAGCATGTCATTGGTGCCACCCGAGGGTTAGAATGAGCTTTAGTCACCTGAAAGTGAGGCAATTTCACTCGTGGCCGCTTAGGAAGTACCCAGGACTACTTTTTTAGTATTTTCCAAAATATCTTGTGAGCTTTTTTTTTTCTTTGAGTTGTGACGTTTGAGCTCAGGTAAGATTAGATATTTAGCAATAACAGATTGAAGGYAAAAAGATATTGAGGCAAGAATAATTGCTTTTAGGAGCGTGATATTTATAGTCAGTTRACGAACGGACCTTGTCGCAAATGCGGTCTTGCATGATAAGTTTTATACCTTARGAGGGGAAAAAACCGGTTTAAAATCAAATCTTATTAAGAAACGATGTCGTGAGTGTGAAAACGATTTTTTTTTCATGAAGAAAAATAAGGGAAAAAAAAAGGAATGATGGATTTGTCATTGTGAGAATCGAACTCTCGTCAGCAATTGATCGACGCCATTAAAAGATTCTAGGCTGGATTGGMTGTATCTTGTCAATACGATGATTCTAGAATGCCGAAATTTTGCTCAGACTTATTTCCAAAATGTCCTAAATGATCAATGTAGTTAAAGCTTACTATAAATGATTTAATACAAATTGTCATAGTAATCGACACTTTCATTTTCATAATGCTGACTTGCATTGTGTTTGTGGTATCAAAATCTGTTTCAGTATTTTCAATGTTTACTACTTAACCAAAATCGAAAGTGTTGTCTTTTAGGTATTTCATGCTGTCGCCTTTTTTTGTAAGCACTTCTGAAGTGATCCGATGACTCATCGTGTATTGGAAATTTACTTTTAAAGTAATTATTTARCAACATTGTTACAGAATGTACTTACTAAATTTGAACTCATGAAAATGTACATGAAAAATGCGTTTCTTTTCTGTATAGTCTATAGAGATCCAAAGTGAAATTATTGATTTCACTTGTGATCTTATACAGCGGATCTTGAAAAGATTCTAAACCTGAAACAGACGATTCCTATTTCAGGTGGACATTTTCAACATTAGGCAGTATAAATGATTTCCAACAMATTTTACAATTATGCACTTACTGTTTGTTTTAAAGTTTTTGTCGTGATTCATGATTTTCTTCAGTTAAAATTAATCTTTTTAACAAAAACACAAAATTTTATGTTTCCTTCAAATTTCAAAGATGTCCYTATTCCCGGAAGGGGAGAGTTACTTGATCCAGATTCGGACTGGAATGTTTCGGCGGTACCCTAACCCTATTTTGTGGAAGGTCCACGTATAGTTGTAATCCACGCCCTCTACATGTCTACCTATACAAAGTATGGCACAGAAAACTGATCACAATCACTCATGTCACTGACATATTTTTCGATTAATTCAGGCAAACTTTAATGAATAAATACAGATATTACAGATATTAAATGCAGATGAGGGCATTATACCACCGATTGTTCTTCTTTAGTGTCAGTAGTGAATACAAACCACACCAAATAGTTATCTCTCCAACTTTTGTCTGGTTACTCGCACAGGAAGAAATCTTACCCGACAAATTTCGCGGCATTTTTTAGTCCACCACTAAGCTTGTCGACCAGTCAACGTCATAAGCTCATGGGAGCGATATCGTTGTAGATCTTCAATTCCACAATTCGGTAGCGACACTCCTATCATTTTACACACTATCATTGAAGGCAATTTTAAAGCAGACTAAAGGACTCTGAAGGGAAAAGCTGCTTCACACACAAATTGCAGACGGAGCAAAGCAASAAAGGACGGAGAAAATCACAAGTTTCTGACAAAATTTCAGGTTCAAACCTTGAAAAGACTAAATAGCCTTCCATAATTATATTAATATGATTAATATACGAGCCTGTTAAGACTGATTTGGGAAAACCAAGATTACTCATATCCGGGGGAGTGGTGTTAGTACTATATTTTGGTTTCTTGTTGATTCCATTGTATATCCATATGTAGCGGTGGAAGGTAATGAAAAACTTTTCCATCAAACATGGTGATGATGATATTTTGTCATAATCAGATATCAGAGCATCTTGAAATACATGCATGTGTTAACGGCTACCTTACGGASAGATCACCTTTTATTATTCGTAGTATATGATGAAAAACGTAGCCCTGTTGGTCACACTAGCCGGAATTTGTGTCTTAGGAAAGCCATCATGGGAGGATAGTGGTACGTATGCATACCTTCTATGAATAAATCCTTTTAACGATCTCCTTTATCGATCCCTTAATCTATTTTAGCCTCAAAACCATCGAATATTAATATTCTTTGATTTAGTGACAATTCCGTGTGTAAACRCAAGAGATCTGTGAWTATAGCTAAAGCCAATGAATATGAGTTTAACATTAACATTTTTGCATATGTTATATACGCAGGCGCGTAGCGTCCTTTATGCATATACGCATGTGCGTACTAGTGGCAAGGAAATATTAAAATTTCCCGGGATTTAATGCCTTTTATATGCTCTCGATGACCCTCAAAACGCTGKAAATCGCATTTCCAAGAGTTATTATTTCAAAATATCCTGGGGAGKACCCCTAGACGCACCCTTAATACATCCACYTTTGTATCGTTAGCCCYCYAATCCAAAATATGTATCGAGGTCCCTGACATGTGCGTACTAGACAAAARGTCCACGCTACGMGCCTGATATATGTTATGGCAACAAAATGTGAATGTGATCAACTATTATAAAGAATAACTATATAACGTGTTTCCTCAGTTGAGAGCCGTCAAAGCGGAGGCATTTAGATAAATTCTACATACTATAATCACGTAAATTTTTAAAGAAGATATTAATTATTCGCAAGATGCGAGCGAAGGGGAAATAATGATTCAGTTAACAACAATCTTTTAACAATGCCATTTATTTCTGTGCAGGACAATGTGCCATTTACGGGTCCAATCGCATTGAATGTGGATGGCTTGGAATTGATGAAAACACGTGCTTGAAGAGAGGTTGCTGTTGGGATAAGAGCGACTACAGAGCTGCGTACTGCTATGTGAAGAAAGGAGCTCGTAAGGAATATTTCACGGTTGCCACCACATCACAATCAACCACCTTCACCGCAATAGCAAGAACCACCATTATCACCACTAAAACCAATTACCACCACTACTAACTTTAAACAACTACAACTAACGCAAGTTCGCTAATGAGARTCTTGTCAAGCCACGCAGTAATTCTGATGTATTTTTATAACTTTCCTTAGCACATATAAGACACTGGTTGTAAAACAATAGTATTTTTGCTGTTACATATTCAGATCTTCTCGAAGGACAGTGCCCTGTTGCACCCTCTGAACGTCAGGAGTGTGGTTACTTCGGTATAACAAGACAACAATGTCTTAGCCGAATGTGTTGCTGGGATGACTCGGTACCCAACACCAAGTACTGCTTCAAAGAGCCAAGTAAGTATCTTTGCAATGCAATGATTGAGTCTTTTTCACCTTGTTTATTTTATTTGTTGTCTCATCAAAAACTAGTTCGAAATAGGGTTTTCACACAACAGCGCATTGGAGCGAGGTTGACAAAAAAGTACACAAGCAATCATAAAAGCCCGTGTCTAAAACGCTACGATTTTTCGTGCAACTTGTCTTTCGAAAAATTTTTTTACCATAACTTGTAGAATTCTCGCGCGCTGATTGGTCGAGGGCCGTTGTCAATCCTAGGACAGACGGATGAAATGACGAATCGCTCGCGCACGGAGCCGGCGCGCGCTAGAAACGGTTTTGTTTTTAAAGTTTTACTTTGTTTTCAGCTTTTTTTATGGTAAAAAACAATTCTCAGGCGGTTTTCCATTGTCTGTACTCTTATTGACAATGAAATTGACGTCAAAATGCTCAAAACTCAAGTGGAACCACGAGCAAAGTTTTGAGCATTCTGCAAGTTATGATAAAATGTTAAATTTGCAGGTTGCACTAGCGTTTTTCACGTTTGACATTATTCCCTCGCGCGACTAAAACGTTTTATTTTTAAACCGAAATATCAACAATGTCGGACGACGAGGAAAGTTAGAACGGATTTCGTATGAGTGGGACACCGTTACCGCACGGTTACCGCACAGTTACCGGACCTGGCCTGCACAATTTTGGTGAACCAATGGGGCACTAGAATTTGGTTACAGTACGATTACGGTCACCGTACAGTACCGTTCTTGTAAAAGCGTAGATGCAACAACAAAGTCATTTGCTTATATCTTATTTGTATTTTTTGAAATATCATTTAACCCTTTAACGTCCGCTTTAGGAATTATCGGTCCTGCTGGAACGATGCTTCTAAAAATTACAAGTTTCCGAGATCACAAAAGAAGACCACCAAATGTACTCCATGACAACAGCTAGTAATATAATTCTATCTTAGAGTTCAAAAGATTTCACATCAAGCGCGAAATCTGGGCAAAATGGACCCCTGAAAAATAKGAATGCCTAAATTTCGACTTTTTGGTGCACCAATAAGGCTGGGAATCACGTCTCTTCATCTCCAGTTTTATAGTCGAAATCATCTTTTGCAAATCGAAATTCTTTTTGAAATTGACCATTCCAGGTTTTTAGTATTTTTGCATTTTTGTTTTGTAGAAGTCTCTGCAGATCTAGCCACAGCCTCTTTTCGACACCATTTCTTCAAAAAGTCTTGAAATCTGGTCTCTTTTCGTCGAATTTGACACTTCATACGGACTGTCAGGATACGCTTGAGTTTGATATGGCAAATATATAATTTGGATGGACAGTGTTTTTTTGTAGCTACAAAATATTATTTGTCAAATATTTTTCATAATCTTCTTATGGCTGTTTGTATCCATCGATGAAATTTCGTGAATACGTGAATGTCGAAACATACGAAACGCCATGTCTGATACATGGCKTTTCTTTATACATGGTTTTGTATCTATTGATTTTGTTTGTTTCTACGATTTTGTGGAAATGGATAATTTCTGATATAATATATCATATATAAGTGTTGTAGACTAATAAATATTCTTGTCAATAATTCTTAGAAATGACACCAGCAGGATGCTACATATAYCATGGGATTTCTGGAATATGTCGTTTTATTTGTCGTCCAGGCGAGGCTAAGATTTATGGGGTGTATTCGTGTGGTGGAAGAGTCTGTTGCAATGCCGGGAGAACAAGTATGTATAAAACCATTTTTCATTGAATGAAAAGTTGACAACGCAATGAAAATGACAAACAAACCGACAAACCGTACCAATCAACGAAATTAGAATCTAAGCAATTGAATTAAAGAAATGAACACTCATCATTGGTCATCATTTGTCTACCTGAACTAGGACTACAGCATTTGTGATTATTTGATGCTGTTTATTCTCAGGTGGGAAGTGATGCTGACATCAGCAAAGATCACTTTTGGAGAATGATGAAGCTRAAACTTAACGTCKTAAACTTTAACTCGTAACATTACTGCAATTTTTGCAAATATGACAAATTTAACGAGAACTTAGCATTTTTTTCTCATTAATTAACATTAGTGATTACCCTGCGAACAGAGTGTTTTTACCTTAACTCACCAAAAAATCGCGAAKAAAATAATTCCTTCGCGAATTTTTGGTGAGGTAAGGTAAATAACATTCTGTTCGCAGAGTAATCAATGACCGAACTGGCTTCGYGAGACTGGCCTCCCTTAAAACCGAACGATTAGCGAACATTCAATAGAACTTGAACTTTGTTGAGTGAGGGAATAGTGTTTACATATTTACGATAAATTGCGGTAAACATTTGTAATACAAAGAGAAAACCAGTAAGACTAGTCAATAAAGTTGCTACCATACGACTACATGCTGTACTGAATAGGGTGATTCGTCTGATCATTTATATCCCAAGAAAATCAATCCATTCAATTTTCATTGTGTTTTTATATGACGAATACAAATATATAACGGAAGGCTTTATTGCAAAAATAAAATGTTCTCTATCGAGGTCCCTGTATCCCCCCATGCGGTGTGCGGCCAGTGTGCGCAGTTTTTTTCACCTTCGCCCCCGCATTGCAAAATAGTTGATTTCGTTAGTTTCATCTCTTATATCTCCTTATGCATCAGTTATGTTTTTACACGAACCAAAGAAAATGAAATTCCTACATCAATCCTATCACGTGACCTTGCTTTGGAGTACATATGGGAAATATCCAACAGAACCAGCCGATGYTTAGAGGRGGGTATTATGGCCACGACTTGGTGTCATTCTAGTGGATACTATAAATGAGTCATTTTTGAGTAATCGCTACTCGAATATTTTTATATATTATTGTAGATKTTTTTTACGTCCTTTGAGATAGATTTAAGACAAATCCCAAATTTGATCGCGGCGATCAAAAATCGCCGCGAGTTGCAGCTAAATTTCAAGCATGCTCGAAACTCAGGCAATTGTCGCGCGACAATCGCGCTGCAAAAATTGCAAGTGTAAACGGGCCTTAACATTTTCCACCTTCCGGCGAAATTTCATAAAAAATAAATCGACTACCTGATGTTTAGTTCTTAAAATCTCAAAGTGCCGTGCTTGTGACTATACAAGCTTGTCGAACAGTATTATTTCGTTCTTCATTGCATTTCCCTTGTTGTATTATGTATAGTTTAAAACACGAGAGGGAGTGTTTTATCAGGTATAAAGATTCGAGCCGAGAATCTTTATACCTGATAAAACACGATCTCAAGTGTTTTAAACGGCTTCAAAAGCTCCAACACTAATTTGAAACTCAAACGTTGAAATTCTTAGAGAAATTTCCGTAAAAATAAATTTTGAGAAAAATGGGACAAACTGATCATGCGCGAATCACTTTACAAAGCACTTCTGTCATCCCACATTGAATACACAAAAAGAAAAATACAAACGGTGTAGTCTGTTACCGCATTTGGTTGACATCCTGCATTGGTCAATGATCTGGTATCAAACCTGAAACCTTTGCTAGGGTCATGGATAAAGGTCTGATAAAGGTCACCCTTATTAGTATTCTTTAATAACTCATTAATTATGTATGAGTTTTTGAATTGAAATTACCGTTATTCCGACGATATTTCACAAAACATCGACTCTCAGACGTTTAGTTCTGAGACTAAACTTCAGGCTGCCTGACGTTTAGACACTCCGTATTTAAAAAACCCTTGAATGACAATAAAGTGTAGAAAGCCAAGCTCTTTGCGCAATGTAGGCGCGAATGCGAAAAAACTCAATCCCACAGTGCCTTTCGTGGAGAAAGTAAAAGGCTGAAAATCCCACGACTAAAAGCCTAACATAATAAGGACACTTCCAAAGTAAACACGATCATATTAAGTCGCAGCTGTGCTCTTTTCGATATTTCTGATTATATCTATACACCATTTTCATCTTTGGAGATATTGCGCATCTTTCCCTAACACTTCTCACAATGGCACTGGATGCACTGTCGATTCGAGTTGGATTCTATTCAACTCATCGTTGCATTTTAAAAAGGCATGGCCGTGGCTGATCTTCSAACTGTTGACTTTTAACGTTTGAAACGACAACCAAAGCATACTTAAAACACTATTAACACTTCAGTATTTGTCTCATGTTATTTCTACAGGATGATGTTGTTGGCGACCGACGAAAGCTAGAGAAAAATAAAAGTTTTCGAAACAGTAGCGTATGGCCTAGACTTCACTTTCATTTTTTCACGTGAAAACTCTCTACACTTAAATGTATTTAAATGCATTTGACGTTATGTGTGTATCTATTAGAGTACATACAAACAGAAAAAATGGCATCTGTTTGCTGAATATTGAAGTATTTTGGCATTTTGAAGAGCTTGCACCACAAGAAAAAGTCGATTTCCCGTCCGAGATTTGATTTCGTAAACTGATTCTCTCCCATGATTCGAAGGATTTTCCCCATAACGATCAAAAACTAGCTGCCAGGGATATTGCTGAGGCCGGTAATGTAGGAAGCTTGTTGCCGAACTTGACGTAATTGACTTATTCTTCCATCCTTTCTAAACTCTTTGAATTTTATACGGTGTAACCTATAAAGAAGATCATAGTCTGCCAACCTAAAAAGTGCAATGAACTCGTGTCGACATGCAGACACAAGTGTTAATATTTTCATATCTTTTTAAATGTTTTTATTTCGACAATTACTCAATAATTATTAACAAAGGTTTGCGCATGTATTGTGTACGATATACAAGCCCGCGTTATTCTCAAAGGCAAGATACAAAAGGTTAGTCATATGATTGTCTCTTACTGACGGTCTACACTGACGGTCAAAGTTGTGTGACCTTGTGTTGGGTTATGGCGTGCCGACTCTTAACCCCCCGATGTTTATTAAGTTAATCGCGTCTAAGTCGTATAAACCGATGTACCTGTTGACCTTTTGACAACCATGCGTTGCCTTATATATCGTAAAACCGATTTCTGTGAAAGACATTTTATTGATTTTCTTATCGTTAATTATGAGACAACACCTCTACCATATTCTTAGTTAATATCAGATAATTTTGACATTTTTGATATAATGCAATTATAAGACAAATCCCTATAAAATCGGATTCGTCCTAGTTCTAGTTTTCCAGAGTTTTAACTACAGTTTGTAGCTAACACCTGAACTCCAAAATTAAAGATCTTATAAGACCAGTTCAACTCTCTACCATTTCTAGTCCTCTAATACAAGCGTAAATATTTGGCTTAATGATTAAGAATGAAATACACTATGAATATTGAATACTTCGTCCTTTTTTCAATCAGTTTACATCCTTATATCCCTCGACTCACTCATTTATCCATTCCTTTATTTAGTAATCTTTTTACAACATGGACAATTTATAGAAGAGGATGAATTATTACCCAAATAAATTCATATTGTTGTCAATATCTAAATAAAGAAATAAAGAACTTACTTAGAAATCAGTGTAGTGACTGACAGCGTTTGTTTATAAGATATATATATAGGGCCCTACAATGACGTCAATCGAAAGTGTTGTGTTTTTCTCTGAATGTACAAAAAGTTCAACATCGGCATTTTTAATTAACTGACACATATATGGGATCCCATATATGCACCATGTCGTGTAAAGATTTGACAATTTAGACCTTATCTATACGTTGCCGCATATCGGTCAAGTGTAGAAATACCCTCCACGAGCGCCTCCAAACAGAAACTAGCTTCGTCCATACGCTGGAGATGGTGAAGCCAATATATCTTCGCAGTGACAAGTACAATGAGCAAAGAGTGACGTAAGATATGAAGTAAACAGGACGTGTMTATCTCAAGGGTGCATTTCCAGCTTTCTTTTAAAATGGCCTTTCTTGGACACATCCTTCAACAACCTGCAATAGGAGCTCAATCGACACAAATCTTTGTAAAAATCACCGAATTCCGCAATTCATTGGGGAGGGATGTTAAGGACTAAACGTCCCTCCAAATATAATAGATCAAGAGGTGAACTTGATGCAATCAATTCGTCTTCTGAATCGATCTTTACTGTAGTGTGTATGTATTGTGCTTTTACTTTTGGCGGTGTTAAATTGATCGTTTTGAACCATTCCCATGCGATTCAAAAGATAAAAGCGGCGGCCATGTTGGAGAAAAGAAAAATAGATTAATGAGAAATCCTTTGTTGAAGTTCCTCCAAGATGGCCGCTGTGACGAAACTTGAAAACTATGAATAGACGTATTTCTTATCTTCGAAGAGAGAGTTCATTAGGATAAGTTTATTTTTTTTATTTTAAGCTTTGTATTATTTGGTTTTAGTGTGGTTTTTGAGTGTCTAGTCTAATATTGAAGTCTGAACACTAACTTGCTTCTCCAATATTTCCGGCCACTTATAATGTTCTCGTAGCAACAGAGTGCCAACAAATTCAAAGCAATTCATGCCGGCCTTAAGCTTGAATGGTGAGTTAGCATGCGAATGTTGAATTCCAAGTACTTTTTATATTTGAAAATAACTTAATGAGTGTTGGGAAACAATGGAACTCAACCAATAATACTTTTACTCTGCACGGAATAGCTCATAACGTGCGGCTCCTGACCGATAAGATGCGATCTCTGCTTTGTTTGCGAAGATTCTTCGTCTCCGATGAGTCATAGTGAACCAAGTTTCAAGACTTGGGAAAGAAGGCGGATTACCAATACAAACATACAATCTGTATCAAGGCGGACTTGTTGTCATCAAAACGAGATTATCTTTAAATAACTTCGAACTCAAAAAATCATGAACAAGACAACACATTCTTATCCATGTCTAAAAGAAATAATTATCATCGATGGAGACCTGAACACCATGTTTTTTACTAGCGCAATACTATTTTCTATTCTAACCGTTCCTACAGTTGTTCTAAACTGTCTTGTTCTTCTTGGTATCTACAAGAAACCCTCCTTGCATACACCCTCTAATATTCTTCTTTGCGGCTTGGCCGTTACAGACTTTGGAGCAGGCTTAATAGCAATGCCTCTCTTTGTTGCAGTCTCAATCGCTTACTGGCAAAAAGCTTTTGGCTCTTATTGCATTCACAGCCTACTGGCWAGATTGGTCGCCACACCTTTCTCCGGAGTTTCATTGGTGAATTTAACATTAATAAGCCTTGATAGGATGATAGCATTACAATTTCACATCAAATACTCCGCTATCGTCACAAATCAGCGAATTGTCCGCATACTTGTCTTCTGYTGGGTTTCAGCAATCGCCATTTCATTTTCCAATCTCTGGTATGACCAAATAAAAAACTGGTCAACTGTTGCCGTTTTTTCAGTCTGCTTGATTCTCACATCTGTTAATACTGGYATTATTTTTAGAATTTTACACCGTCATCGAAGACAGATTTCAACC